TCTACCAGGAGGAGAAGAGCTATGTGCAGTGGGTCCGCAGTCACATCACCACCAAGTCCTGCCCAGGAATGAAGAAGCTTCGTCTCTACATCGAGTGTGTGGACAATGCCAAGAAAGAACGCCTTCAGCGTTTGTGGCAGGAGAAGAAAGAGATGCAGCAAAAAAAGGCAGGGAAGCAAATTCCAATGATTCCCAAAGCCAAGAGCAAGAAAGCTTCCACAGCAAAGGGCAGCAACGAGGTGAACGAGGAAGCCATCCAACAGGTGGCTGGATCCAACAGTTCGACAAGGAGGCCGGCATGGATCAAGAGGAAGAGTGGAACAGCGAGGTCAACTCAGATTCGGAAGCAGTGGCATCAGCCAGTGCGCAGCCCAAGACGCGCCCATACAAGAGCAAGTGAGCCAGAGCACTGATGAAGAGAGCTACTGTAGATCAATGGCACCTTCGGAGATTGAGTTCATCGATGGTGAGTTGGAGCGAGCCTGGACTAGGAAGTCCTCTGAGCATGAGCGTTTAGATGTCTTGTTTATAACTCCAGCTCAAAGTGCCAACGCTACTGTAGCTGAAGTATTTTCAGTGCCTCGACTTTGTAAGCTAGCCGAGGAAGCTGGCTTGAACTGTGGAGGATCATATGATATCCTAACAGGATGGGACTTTCGCGACAGCCAAAAGAGAGAAGAGCTACGGGACAAGCTGAGGGTGATGAGACCTAGATTGCTCATGTTGTGTCCTCCATGTGGTGTTTCTTCCCCCTTGCAGCAGTTCAACAAACATTTGGACATGAAGGCCTGGTTACAACAGGTTCATGAGAGTAAGGTGTTTTTTAGATACAGCATGCAGCTCGCAAAGGACCAGTTGGACCGCGGAGATCTTTTTGTTTTTCAGCAACCTCATGGAGCGCGATCCTGGAATGATCCAGCAGTCATTGCAGTGAGTAAACAAAACGGAGTCAAACAAATTGTGTTGGATCAATGCATGTTTGGACTTGCGGACCGGAGAAACGGAAAACCACATCGTAAGAGGACCCGACTCATGTTGAACAGTGAAGACATAGGGAAACGCATGCGTGTTTTGTGTGATGGTACACATGAGCATGAACATGTCATGGGGTCAATCAAAACGGAAAAAGGTTGGGTGAACAGATCTAGATTGGCTCAGGAGTATGAGTTTTGTAAGGGGATTCTGTTGGGACTGAAAGAGGACATGGAAAACAGAAGACAGAGTCATGCCACCCATTGTGCCTGACCGTTGAGGCCCTGGATACTAAGGATGAACAGAAAATCGCCGCATTGTTGCGTCGATGTCATGAGAATTTAGGTCATCCCTCCACAGCCAGGTTCGTTGCTATGCTGAAGGCCGCACGTGCTACAGAGACTTGCATTCAGATTTGCAAAAGGATTGACATGTCACACCTGCCAAGCCATTCACGGGGAAAAGAGTCACAACGTGGCAAAAGCCATCAAGGACCTTGACTTCAACGAAGTGGTATGTGTTGATACATTTGAAGTTGAGTTGTCGTGGGGAAAGTTGGAGTTGTTGAACATTGTGGACATTGGAACTCGATTTCAAATTTGCATTCCATTGTGGAAAGTCATTGAGGTGAAGCATGTTAGAAAGGCATGTCATTGAGGTGAAGCATGTTAGAAAGGCATTTCGAAGGTATTGGAAGAGGTGGGCAGGTGCACCTAAGACGGTTGTCAGTGATGGAGGTCCAGAGTTTGGAGCAGGTTGGACTGACCACTTGGCAAGCGACGGAACAGAACATTCGGTCACAGCAGCATATGCACCATGGCAGAATGGTGTTTGCGAAAGGTTAGGAGGTGCTTGGAAGGTTGCATTCAGGAAATCCATGTTGGAGGTTGATCCACAGTCGAAAGAAGAAGTTGAAGAATTGTGTGATCAGTTGAATTGTGCCCACAACACCATGACCAGGATTGACGGATTCTCACCTCATCAATATGTGCTTGGAGCAGATATGCGTGTGCCAGTGCTTGGGATGCTTGGTGAAGGGAATGAGACACAAGAGTCGGCTCTGCATGAAAAGGAGGATAGACATATGAAGGCTCAACAGATTAGATTAGCAGCCAGGAAAGCATTTCTGGATGCAGACAGTGAGAGTAAGTTGAAGAGAGCCATATGTCACCGAAGTCGACCAAACCGTGGACCATTTGAAGTCGGGTCCAGGAAGAGTGATTGGATCTCAAACTGAGAAGGTCTGGGTCATGTATGGTGCCAAAGTGTACAGATGTGCACCAGAGCAAGTGAAGCACGTCGATTCAGAAATCATTGAGTTGTCGTCGTGGTTGCCTATTACATTGCGGACGTGGAAGAGCACAATTCGAGAAAGAGGAGCAGGCAATCTTGTAGAGCTTGACAAAGAGAGATTTCCACCAGAAGAAGAGATAGAAGAGACAGAGAGCTGAGCAGGAGATCATAAATGATCAAGGACTGCAAGGAGGCTCAGAAGATGTGGAAATGAAACCGGTTGAACAGTTGGTTGGTGCCCATGTTGGAATGATTCCAGATCAACAAAATGATCAAGAAGCAGCAGTCGGAGCTCAGGATGTTGTCATTGAAACCATACAGTCACCAGCAGGCTCGGAACACAATGGTCAATTGTCGGTTGAGGAACCGGCAGAACCTTCGGGAAATGGAAACGAAACAAACGGAGGGACCCGGGTAGCTGGACCACGGAGAATACTGAATATGGACCTGTGAGGACTTCTTTGACACATGCCGGATTTGGGCGCGCCCGTTCGTCGTTCGTCGAATCGTGAGGTCATCTTGAGCGTCAAAAAGGGATGCAGTGTCATGTTTTGATGACTGAAACGGAGGAAACAAACGATGATGACCAAGAGACGATTGAACACGGAACGAAACTGAAACAAAGAAAGGTGAAACACAAAGAACTTCAAGAGAAACAGCTTTCCTTTGCGAAACGACAAGAGCTTGACAGAGCAAAAACAAAGGAATGGGGTAAAATCATTAATTCTGGATCCATAAAGGTACATATAGGTCAGGAGGCCAGGAAGATTGAGGATGAAGTAGGATACTGCAGTCAAGGTTTGTGTACACCTCAGATGATGGAACTCCAGAAGGAACACTGAAGGCCAGGTGGTGCGTGAAGGGGTATTTGGACCCTGATGTGCTTGAGTTGCAAACAGCGTCACCAACACTTAGCAATGAAGGATTTTCCATTGCTATTCAACTCCTGGCAAGCTACAAGTGGAATATGGTCATTGCTGACGTCGAGGGAGCATTCCTCAGAGGTGACAACATTGATAGACAGAAAGGCAAGATCCTAGTTCGCTTGCTGCCTGGAGGCGTTCCAGGTTACAATGAAAAAGAAACAGTTTGTGAACTGGTGAAGCCAGTATATGGACTGGTTGATGCACCGAGACTGTGGTGGACATCATTGACAAAGACAGTTCGAGAACAAGGTCTTCAGCAGTCAGAACTGGACAACTGTATATTCTACAGTCGTGACAGTGCCGGTGCCCTAAATGGAGTGATTGCATTTCATGTAGACGATCTGTTGGTAGGTGGAACAACTGAATTCTTTTCTGGACAGTTTGAACGGTTGAGGAACAAATATCCTTTTAAACATGTGAAACATGGTTCTGGTGAATTTTGAGGAAAACAGTTGAAACAAATGAGTGATGGAAGTATTGTTATTGAACAGAAGGAATACGCCGAAACCTTGGAGTGCATTTCAATGTCAAAAGAAAGAAAAGAAAAAGATAGTGAAACGACACCTCACGAGAGGACTCAGATGAGGGGAGTGCTAGGTGAGGTTCAGTGGCTGGTAACAGGCTCCAGACCAGACTCAGCAGCTGGTTGCTCACTGTTACAACAACGAATTGCACAATCTACTGTGAATGACATGATTGAAGTGAATCGTTTGGTGGCATTGGCTCGAGATGTTTCGAATGCTGAAATCCGTGTGAAATCCATTCCTCCAGAAAAACTGGAGCTTGCATGGTCAGATGCCAGTTTCGCCAATGAGAAAATGAAAAGCCAAGGTGGATATAGGATTTGTGGAACAGTGGGCACTAGGAAACAAGTGCCTTACTAGTAGTAACAATGTTTGCTAGTAGAAACAAGTGCATCGCTACTAGTAACAAGTGCCTTACTAGCCATGGTGGGCAACGATCTCACCTCTTCGTTGGAGAAGCTACAAACAATATAGACAGGTGGCTTCGACGTTGGGAGCTGAATTGATGACATCAAGAACGATAGCTGAATCCAAATGGATGAGATCCTGATGGGCAAAGGCCAGATTTCAGAACTACAAATTGGAAGAAGATCAAATCTGGAGCTCAAGAATTCCACTTACAATATCTGTAGATTCCCGACCAGTTTTCGATCATTTGAATGGACAAGTGATGACCATCAAAGACAAAAGAATGGCCATCGAAATGCTGTTGGTCAAGAGAGATGTGGCTCGAGATAATGTACAAGTACGGTGGCTACAAACTGACCACATGCTCGTTGACGGCCTGACCAAACTAGGTGTGAAGATGGATCTTCTCAGGAAAGTCTTACAGATGAACACCATGAGACTGACCGAAGATCCAACACTACTTATATAGATGGATTGGAAAAGCGCCCAAGAAAGGTTGATTGGAGTTCGTGTGGTTTGCATTTGTTTGAGTAAGAGAAAGCGAGATCCATAGAACTACAGGATCAAAAAGGGATGTGTAAGAAGTCACATCGATCCTCTAGTCACTTGTACAGATGGAAGGATATAACATATCCGAAACACTTCGGCACGAGCCCCCCGCGATCCTAGCAGATAGAAACAGTTGTGCCATATCCATGTCACCATTGAGGGACGCAGTCAAGATGAGTTTGTCATTTAGATGTATTTAGTGTGACCGATCTCCAAGTTGCCCTGCCTCACAAGGAGGCTCTGCCCGACCTAAGGCATCCAGATGATGGGAGTTGGGTCGTGCTGGCCAGTGCAAAGAACCTGCAACAATCACAGTATCACAAGTGCTCTAAAAGTCAGACATGACAATGAAGTATCATGAAGCTGTTTCCCTTACAGAAACTGTACGCAAGCGGCTTAACCTTTGAGAAACCATTGCGCTTGGCTCCACGGAGCTGTGCCTGGTGAAGGTGGCGCTCCAAAAATGGATCGTGCTTCGTCCACAGTCTCGTGGGGTTTGTGCTCTTCAAAGGGTCGGAAATAGCAAAGCAAACCTGCGAAATCAGAAGCAAGCAAATGCGCAACAGTGTGGGGCATGAAAAAAGGAATGATGCGAGAATGATGCAAAAGGGAATCAATCAAGTGTGGCAGTGTGGCAAATCGAAATGTGATAAAGAAGCCAAGCAGCGCTTCGGCGTTAGCCAACTGGCTAGGTTCAGATGTCCAAGCTCGCTAGATGTAGTGAGATTGCCGGTTGTTTCTGTAGCAAGGTAACTGGTGATGTCTGGCTTCAAGGCATCGACAAACTCCAGCTGACCTTCGAAAATCTCCCCACATCGAAAAGGTCTGCATGAACGATCTACTGACATGAATCACAAATACCACTTCAAAATCCTTCAAGATTGTTCAAGCTATTCATGGTGTTTGACTCTGCCTTCTAGAGCTCCCATGGCCATGCAGCGCCATTGAACGCACCTCTTTGTTGCTGCTTTTGTGCTTTCTCTGGCAACGTCCAGGGTCATCAAGTCGCGTTCTCACATGTTTCCTCTTGGAAAACCAAAGCACCCGTGTGATCCGTCTGTGTCTTCCCTCATCTTCATGTCTGACTAATGCAAGCTACCACCACATTATCATAAAAAGCAAGTAGGCAGTGTGGTGACTCTTCAAGTGGAAGAGTCTGTTGCAGGTGTTCATAGAGCCAAAGTAAAACTTTGACAGCGATCCCGGCACAACTTCAGTCGCTCATCGTGCCTACAACTGTGGACCCACATCAAGAATGCTGGTCACTCTAGCAAACAAGCCGAACGACAAGCCGAACGATGATCGGACGATCATCTTGGGCCTTTTCATGTCTTTTGCAATTTCAGCACTTCTGGCTGTCTCAAGCAGAGCATTCAAGCTGCACGTTGAGTGAGTCATCCTCAGCTTTTTCTGGAAGTTTCATGAAGGCCACTGCCAAACTGCAAAAGATATTGGAGACGACCGTCAGCATATACGGGGTCCAATAGATACCTCGCTTCGTACCAGAATTAGAAATGCTGGATTTCAAACCAGCAAATGCGAGGAAGCCTTGGAAGAGTCCCGAACAAACATAATATATATATATATACTGTAAAGGAAAAGGATTAAAAAGGACTTCTTTGCAATTCGCTTAAGAAACCTCGATCCTGGAAGAGCACGAGCAATCTGCTAAAGATCACAGGACCAAGTCCTCCAGTCAAAGTCATGAGTGAGTTCACAGCACCTTGGACTTGCCCCATCTCTGAAGGCCCCACCGAGTTCATGTAGATCGCTTGGATGGCGGGTGAGAAGATCACACCAAGTCCCGAGGTCAATGCCAGGACATAGAGATCATGAAAGTTTGGCACAAAGCTAATGATGAGACAGTTTAGAGCGCCAAAAAAGTACCCCAGCAGAATGATACCCCGCACGGAGAAGCAACGTGCCAAATGCTTGACCACAAATACTTGAACACAGAGATTGCTGATGCCATTCAGGAAAATGATCGGAGCGACATCTTTGACGTCTGCGCCAAAATGCGCCTTGAGGTAGAACATGAAGACACTACCACATCCGGCATGAACAGAGTTGCTGATCAACATGAGAACTGTTAAGCCTCTGAACTTCTTGTTCACAAGAATACCCAGTTGGAGAAGCCTGCACAGTCTGGTGGCCGTTTCCATGATATCAAGTCATGACTTGTGGTCTTACAGTGCTCGATTATGCTCACTTCAAGGAAACAACATGAGCAGTTAGGAGGTCCTTGAGGGTCGCGCAGCTGCAGAAAAGGATCTGCGCTGAGTCTCCTCCGAGCTTCCATAGCTGGTTCAAAGGCAAGTTACAACTCACATGAGAGTACATTCATTCGTCACAAAGCAAATTCCTTCAGACAAGAGTCTGAAATCGACTCGGGCATTCCAAAAGTTGTCACTACGACCGCCAAGAGCGACAAAAGAGCTGACAGGATCAAGCAATTCCTGGCAGGCTCTTGTGTGTTCCCAGTGTGTCCATGCAAACAGCCCCTAGCCTGGGTTTGCTTGTTCAGATCCAAACGCGCTTTGTAACAATCGGACAAATGTATTTTGTTTACACGTCAAAAATCCTGTGTTTAGTTCAAAAATTGGTTGGACAAAGTTCAACAGATTCCACTTGGCATTGAATTCCCGAAGCCCTTGAATCCGTAAATATTGTCTATAAGCTTCTTTTTTTGAGTGTATTCCCTCCAGCCTTTTGCTTGCCACCAAACTTGCCAAAGGTGTGACAATCTGCTCCACATCCATAGCAGCAGCAAGGGTTGCAAAAAAAGGCAACCCGCTGCTCTGGAGTAGTTCTGTCTGCAATCCACAAGAAGAAGACGACCTGCGTTGATCAGCTTGGAACTCTAGTTATGCGCTACCTGTGCAATTGGAACTGTTGTGAGTCAAACTGTCACACTCCAGCCTGACCACAAAATGAAGCCACCACAATGGAAAGGCAAAAGTAGATGTAAAGGGAGATGCCCAAAACATCTACAGCCAGAAGAGACAGCACAGCCACCAGATTTGCAATTTGGCCGAGAACCATCATAGGTTTCCGACCAAGTCGATCACAACAAAGAGCTATGAAAGGACTCGCGATAATCACGCAGATCGATCCGAGCAATGTAAAATTGGAGCCGATACGGCTGCCTCTGCTGAGAGCTGCTTTACAGGCAGGTGAGTCGTGTGCCTCTCCAATGCATGGATCTGTCCCGCCATTGAAAAATGCTGTGGACAAGGCGGGCAAAATGAGACCATTCAAAACACCTGAAGCAGCGACAAACACCACTGACAACCAAAATGAAGGCCAACCACTGGAGCAACGGCCACTCGAGCCATTCGGACCATCCATGGTCTTTCGTCGAGGCGCTAAAAGAAGGTCTCAACACGTAGTATGCGATGTGAGAACTCATGACCTTCAGTCTTAACATATGGTGTTATATAGGTCCATGGTCCATAGTAGTCTTAACATAGTCTATTGATGTTTTCTATACATGTTCTCCGATCTAACACCCATCTAAAGGTCCAGATAGGCAACGCGAGGAAACTCTGAGTCTGCGCACCATCTTCAAGAACTCACATACAGATTGAAATGACCCATCCTTGCTTCCTTTTGGGGATATGTTGGCAGGCAGCACTTTGATGCTCGAGCACAACAGCACCGGTCACAGGCTCAAATAATTCACTGGCACAACACATCAGAAAAAAACAGTTGAAGCGTGCAACGCAAAAGCGCATTTTTCACCACTTGCTTCTGAGGGAGCTTTGCCTCAGCGTGTGGGAAGCGTGTATTTGATCAGCTTTAAACTTCAAACGTCTTCAGAATCTTGTCGAGACAAAGTACTTGGACTTCATGTCTATTTGGTCAGCTTCACACTTCAAACCTCTTCTTCAGAAGAATCTTGTCGGCACAAAGTGCTTGATGACAAATGAGTGAAAGGATCTTTGGCCACTGCATGCAGGAAGTCAATAATATCAGGCTCATCCGATTCACTGCTGGTTGTATCATCTTGGGCTTCGAGGTCAAGGGACATCATCCTCGTACAATCGACTTCAAACGTGTCTGGACAAGGAGCTTCCTCTCCATGCACCAAGATAACGAGCCCAAACATCATACCCATGATGCAGCTTGAATATCCCAGAAGCTTCCACCATGGTTCACCGTCCATCTCTTGTAGAACAATCAAAGCACTTAAACTATTTGACAGAATATTGGAGCCTTGAAAGACCGTAACCATGAAAAGTGCTTCGTACTTCTGCATACCTTTGGCCATATATGGCACATTTGCGACAGCAAAAAAAAACAGCGCCAGCAAGAACCACCCATGGAATCCAATGGCTCCAAGCTGCACAATCGCCAGAAACACAGTCAGCAGCAAGCGCCGCTGCAACCCTCGTGCACCACATGTTCCCGGCCAACGATCCTGCTGTTGCGCCCAGTGAAAAGCCCCGAATAACTGATCCATGTGGTGAGCGCGCTCGTATCCACACATTCAGGAGGAACCACATTGCAAAAATGGTCCCGTAGATCACCACACGAGGGCGACCCAATACATCCTCTGTGCGTTCCAATGACCAAACCTCTGTGTGCGCATTCTTGAAAAAAATAGACAATGTAGCTGTGATAAAAACGATGACGGCACTTGCACATCTGCGGCAGGTGAGCTCCTCCCCAAGCATGAACGGAGCCACCAGGGTATTGATGACAATGTTGAAGCCGGTGAAGGGAGCGATGACGGCGGCAGGAGCGAAGGCATAGCCGGCAACGTCAAACGCCGGACCCACCAGAATATTCATGGCCATGCCAGCGAGGAAGAAGAATCGACCTGGAGGTGCCGACCCTACGAATCGGAAACTACCAGAAGATTGGGTGGAACAATCTGCAAACTGCCAATGTTATCGTTTTGGAGGGATGCTTATGGCTGTTGTTAGTCCCGAGCCACACTTTGAATGTATGTGAGATCCAGCCTTCCAATAGATTGCCGCTGTTCTTTTTCAGCTCAGAAATCCTGATGAAGTGCATGCCAGCCGTGCCAATTGCAAGGCCGATCAACACCAGGGCCACACCCATTAACCACCTCATGATGAAAATTGAGAAGTAGCTGTTGGCAACTTTGAGCAGCTAACACCTGCATTTTTATGGATAAAGTCTGTCTTTGGACAAGCTTCATATGACCAATGGTGAATCAAGAATGATGACAGAAGCCATGAGCTTTGTGCTCAGAATCTTGCCTGACTTGCTGAGCTTTGCTCAGTTCAAATGATCATTGCTTCGGATAGATGTCCTTTTTGTCTTCGATACTTTGCCACTCTTGGTCTCTTGAGATTTGGTCTGGTCGAGAAAATCTCCTATCTTGACCTCACTCGTCTCAGTAGACCTCTTCCTTGCCAAAGTTTCTGAGCCGCCCCAGGAGGTTGCGAGCAGCTGATCTGGCCTGCACGAGCTGCAAATGTGCAGTAAGCAAGAAGGCAACTGCTTAGTCAACTGAATGTGGATGACTTTAAATTACACATTACTGGTAGCGCCCTTGCTCCTAGTAGTAACGCCAGGAGCCCCTAGTAGCGTCCTTACTCCTAGTAGCGATGCCCTTTGCTTCTAGTAATTCTGGTAGCGTCCTTGCTCCTACCAGCATCGACCCCAAACAGCACTTGTTCTCATTTGAATTCATCCATGGCATACACCACCAACATGGCGCAACAAAAGCATGACTCGGTCTTGTCATGTCCTTTCAGAGCACATAGTTGAGCACTTTTGGAGGCGCATCTGTGCACTTCACCGCAAGTGAGGTTGCATGTTGGAAGGCATATGTAAATGTAAATGACTTCTCATTCATCTAAGTGGGGAAACACAGGGGAAATAATCTCATCTCGTGAGAGGATGCCAGTCGGGAGACAAGAAAGGAGAAAGGTGCGTGGAAGGCAAAGCGAAATCATCTCAGCCCAGCATCCAGAGCGCCGTGGGCCATGGGAGACAAAGGAAGACAAAGTGGAGACAATCATAATTATCTCAGCCCAGCATAGCCCAGCATCCAGAAGAGACAAAAGGAGACAAAGCGGAATCATCTCAGAAACCAGAAGGGCATGGCAGAATCACCTTGGCCTAGGATCGTTTGTATGCAAGAATTGAGAACCCCTCACAGCAAAGCTTTTTGGGAATAAGAAGAACTGAAAAACAATCATGAAAAATGTAACGGATTGTGCCAAATGAACGACAAGAGAGTTGCGCCTTGGCGCGATTGGATCTGCGTTCTTTCACGCCCCATGTGCCCGGGCTCATTGCTGGGAGGATCCAAACTGCACAATTCAGCGAAACGAACCATGAAAAGAATACCAGAAAGTTCCAAATGAACCATTGAAATGAACCATGTATTGTTTGGTAGCGTTTCTGCGCACTGAATGCGGCCAGTAAAAAGAGAGGAATGAACCACTCATTGAAGTAGTCCTCCAAAGGACGCTCCTGGTATGGCAGGAATGGATGTTGTAGCCTTTGAATAGAAATGGGGCCAGAACAATGCAGCAGCGCACACAGAACCATCTCAATCATGCTGCGAAACCTTCGGCTTAAACCACTCTTCTTGGATTCGTTTGGCGACCTCGGGCTCAAAACGTTCGTCAAAGGTCCAGCTCTACACAAATAGGACGTGTGAATGTGGTTCCATTGCGTTAAAGTTTGTTAAAGCTAGCTAACCGTAACTCCTTTAACTTTAACTCAGGAAGGAGCAGGGCTGTCGTAGACAGGGTCGTACGGACGCTTGGGAGGAACCTTGGCAAAACTTTGGGTGTGTGTGACGATGTTTCTCTTGCATCCAGTATCCAAGTCACATAGTCCTCTGGAAGCCTGAGCGCAGGCAAATCATGCCAACGATCGCAGTTAAAGCTTGTGGTGAACCATGATGCAGCAAATGCAGCGTTTGCAAACCCTTGCGCCAGACTAATAAGCACATGCTCAGGATGTCTGCGTTTGTGCTCTGAATTGTTTGCCAAACCACTGCTGCCACGGGAAGAGCGCTCTCACCGCAACATTTCTGGAGGGCTGCTGGACCTGTCATTTCGCACAATCTGCACAAGGTCAAACATTGTGTTACTCATGTGTAACATATCCCTCTTGCACAGTTGTAGCCAACATGGATACAGTTGTTCTTTAAGCGGTGCTCTTTGACTGAATTGGTGTGTCAATCAGCCGTGGTGACGCCAGCGCCGACAAAGGTCAACACACTCCTTGGCATGATGCTTCAGGCTGAGTGGATGGGTGAGTGCAGTTTTCCCAAAACGAAGCTTTCGCTGTTTAAGTGCTTAAACCAATATCCGAGATGTTCAGGAAACGAGACTTTTTGTTTGTGTTTTTTTGCTTTTTCTAGGTATCACCTTGGGTCACACACACACACACACAGTAGGCCCAAACAACGGAGCAGATAGCATGGCCAAAGCTTAGGATCGTGCAAGGTTGCGCAAGCCTAAGGATACTTCACAGGATTCAAAGTGCTCTACAAGACGCATTGCACCAGCTTCCGAACAAGGCGACTTGCAAGCTTCGGTCAATGAGGTGCCCAGCCACTGCAAGGCCACATAGGCGGCCCCCTGCTAGCACTTGAAACAGCGGCTAAGCTGGTTATCAATGGCCATCATATTTCTGACGGCCCTAGAAAGCATTGAGGTGCCAGAGACCGTTGAAAGCAGCTTCGGCATAATCTGTTGAGGATTTTAATTTTTGGGTTGTCTTTTCCAGCCCTGCCTCGGTCACCCGCCATTGTGGCTCAAAGAAATCCAAACAGAACGAATGAGGCGATTTGACAATCAAACTCATGGAACCCAAGGAGAGGTGCAATAAGATGTGATGAAAATCTTGGTTCCAAATTATCCTTTGATCTGAAAGGATCTCTCGATAAACAAATGCCTCACGACCAATTGCGCTATCAAGAGTAATTAAGAGATCATGTGCATGGAACAGCTGATCTGCAGTGGCGAAAAAAAATCAAGCGCTGAACCAAAACATCAGCCAAGCATTTGAAAAGCCACCCACTCCGACCGCTTGGCCTCAACTATTTGATCACTCAGGAACTGAAGGATCTTGGACGAAAACTACCGACCAATCTTGACCTACTTTCTTTTGAAGCCTTTCCACGTGATGAAAACAATTTCTGTCAGGCAAGTCTGAGTTGAACCTCATCTGAAGATGAATCCACTTGTTCCGGGAAGTCTTTCTAGACGTTTTGCCTCGCAAGGTTTCCTCTGGACACCAGTCATATATATATATATATAGTAATTGTTTCGTTGCGATGGTTAGAAGAAAAAACACGTCGTTTCTGTGAAGGGTCACAGCATATTCTGCTGCTTACTAGTATTGCTTCCTCCAACAGAAACAACTGAACTCACTGTAATTAATTAATGAGTAAGATGCAGAAAGTGTTGCCTTATCGCGTCTTCCAACTTCCTATCGGTTTGATGATAGGAAATTGATGTTTGCCAGTGCCAAACTGTTAATTCCTGTAAATTCCTTTTCTTCGAGACTCGCAACCACCCAGTGAGGGGCGGTCTGTCCTTCAAGGCCTGTACAACATGAGAGGTCTGGTGAACCTCGCTTGGCCGAAAGGAGCCACCTCCTTTGGCTTGGGGGAAAAAAGACAATCCAAGGGCTTCAAAATGTTTAGGGGCTTCTTTTGCTTCAATGTGAGGATGCTAACAGTTCAGAGCAATTGTTGGTTTTTTCTTTGGGTATCGCTTCGCAGACCTCCGGAAGGAATGCAAAACTGAGAACTCACTTCAACCAGGTCGCTTCAGCAGGGCCTCACAAATATACCCAGTCAGGCCCAGTCACACATCATAGTCATAGTTGTCCTTTAGCCATCCGTTCAATAAGTTTGCCTAGTTGCGTTTTGTCCATGCTGTGTCATCTTCAAGTGAGCTGCCGATAACAAAATGCTTCAAAAGCTGCATCTCAAAGCTTTTCCCGTCGAAATTAACCTGCACAGGATGTGATCGAGAACAAACTATGAAAATTTACGATGAATGCAAATTCACCTGAAAGTGCCACGTCTCCCCATATGTGCTCACATCGTCTGTCAAACAAGATCCCATGATGCCAGTTGAATGGCTCAACAAAGAGCAAACCGTTGACATGTTTGCTGATTGAAAGCTGGTTGACACCTATTCAAAGCTTTGCAGAAAGCTTCGCAATGACACCCTTGCCTTCACCGGCTTTTTCGAGACCTTGATGAGACCATCAAGGTCGTAAGTCTGCAGGTACCTTCACGTCCAGGACATCTGGCAATGTGTTTTTGGTGGAAAAATCATCCACCAAAAGCAGAGAATTCAAAGCTATTGGATTCTGCATACAAGGTCAGTGAGCTGGCTTCTTTTCACACATTGAAGCTTCGCAGCTAGCTCAGACTCCAGACTCGCGGCAAGCAGCTTCAGCTTTAGGGTCATGTTTGGTTAGTTCCTGGCGTGCTAAAATCGGGTATAGAGTGCGGCAACAAGAGCAAGCGAAACCAAAAGCATTCCGAACATAATTATCCACTTTAGCAGACCTTCATGGCCGTCGGGTTGAAGAAAGGGCCACGGGCCTCATGGCAGAGAATGGCAAGCAGCAGGCACCAAAAGCTAGATTTTCACATGGTTTTCGGGATCCCAAAAGAGCCAAAGAGTCAAACGGTGATGGATACCACAAGTTCATCATCGTCTTGGATGACAAAGCTTTCCTCGTTGATCAGCACCTCGCAGAACAGGTGAACAAAACTCACAAGAAAGGAAAAAGGAGGCACCATTGCCACTAAATTTGAACCCAGTTGGACTGCAAGGGTGAAACAAACTTATATAGCGAAACCGTATCTCCGCCCGAAATTCGCTGCTGGTTTTATTTAGGTTTGTGTTGTTGAGGGATTGAAGTCGTCACAACAAGTGCGCCCCTTTGAAATGTGGCAGGTTTTGAGCCCAAGCCTTCATTTCAATCTGCTTGTGATGTTTCGATTGTTCCAGTTCCAAATTGGAAGATTGTGCATTCCAGCAACTGTTGGCAACATAATCATCTCTACCAAGGCTGTCATGTTTAACACATGTTAACAGCATCTTCTGGCGACACAGTGCATGCGTAGACCAGTCAGACCAGCCAGGCCCCATGTGAAAAAAGGGCCCCCCGAGAAAGCACGAAGCACGAAACGGACGGAGGTGAGTGCCCGGCCCGCTCAGGTAAACATGGTTTCCCCACATTGACCTGTGGGGTTTCTGTTTGTTGTGCTGACCTCCTGCTTCCGTCCCCCACCCTCCGCCGCCCACCCTCCGCCGCCCACACCAACCAACCAACCAACCAACCAACCAAGCAAGCAAGCAAGCAAGCAAGCAAGAAACAAGGAAGCAAGCAAGCAAGCAAGCAAGCAAGCAAGCAAGCAACCAAGCAACCAAGCATTCAAGCAACCAAGCAACCAAGCAAGCAAGCAAGCAACCAAGCAACCAAGCAAGCAAGCAACCAAGCAACCAAGCAACCAACTAACCAAGCAACCAAGCAAGCATTCAAGCAACCAACCAACCAAGCAACCAACTAACCAAGCAACCAACTAACCAAGCAACCAAGCGAGCAAGCAACCAAGCAAACAACTAACCAAGCAACCAACCAAGCAACAAACCAACCAAGCAAGCAACCAACCAAGCAACCAACCAACCAAGCAACCAAGCAAGCAAGCAACCAAGCAACCAACTAACCAAGCAACCAACCAAGCAACCAACCAAGCAACCAAGCATTCAAGCAACCAAGCAAGCAAGCAACCAAGCAAAACCAAGCAAGCAACCAAGCAACCCACTAACCAAGCAACCAACCAAGCAACCAAGCAAGCAACCAACCAAGCAAGCAACCAAGCAACCAAGCAAGCAAGCAACCAAGCAAAACCAAGCAACCAACCAAGCAACCAAGCAAGCAAGCAAGCAACCAAGCACCCAACTAACCAAGCAACCAACCAAGCAAGCAACCAAGCAACCAAGCAAGCAAGCAAGCAACCAAACAAAACCAAGCAACCAACCAAGCAAGCAAGCAACCAAGCAACCAAGCAACCAACTAACCAAGCAACCAACCAAGCAAGCAAGCAAGAACCAAGCAAGCAAGCAAGCAAGCAACCCACTAACCAGGCAACCAACCAAGCAACCAAGCAAACAAGCAAGCAACCAACTAACCAAGCAACCAACTAACCAAGCAACCAAGCAAGCAAGCAACCAAGCAACCAACCAAGCAAGCAACCAAGCAACCAACTAACCAACCAAGCCACCAACCAAGCAACCAAGCCAGCAAGCAAGCGAGCAAGCAACCAACTAACCAACTAAACAACTAACCACCTAACCAACTAACCAACTAACCGACTAACCAGGCAGGAAGGCAGGCAAGCAGGCAGGCAGGGAGGGAGCCAGGCAGGCAGGCAGGCAAGCAAGCAAGCAAGCAACCAAACAACCAAGCAACCGAGCGAGCAAGCAAGCAAGCAAGCAAGCAACCAAGCAACCAACTAACCAAGCAAGCAAGCAATCAACCAACTAACCAAGCAACCAACTAACCAAGCAACCAACCAAGCAACCAAGCAACCAACTAACCAAGCAACCAACCAAGCAACCAACCAAGCAACCAACCAAGCAAGCAAGCAAGAAAGCAAGCAAGAACCAAGCAAGCAAGCAAGCCAGCAAGCAAGCAAGCAAGCAAGCAAGCAACCAAGCAAGCAACCAAGCAACCAACCAAGCAACCAACCAAGCAACCAACCAAGCAAGCAACCAAGCAACCAAGCAACCAACTAACCAACTAACCAACCAGGAAAGCAACCAAGCAACCAAGCCAGCAAGCAAGCAAGCAAGCAACCAACTAACCAACTAAACAACTAACCACCTAACCAACTAACCAACTAACCAGGCAGGGAGGGAGCCAGGCAGGCAGGCAGGGTAGGCAGGCAGGCAGGCAGGCAGGCAGGGTAGGTAGGTAGGCAGGCAGGCAGGCAAGCAAGCAACAAAAACAACAACAACAAGGAGGCGCAAACAAAAACTGCAGCGCCATTACAAGATATCTTGTTCATGTGTCTCTTCAAGGGGGGTGGAAACAAAATCTGCAGCCCCGCCGTTGTCCGTTGTTATTTTGACCCCCCCCCGAAAACAACCAGCCAACATATACTTTTACCAGTAGTGGTAGTGCTTGTACTAGCGCTATACTAGCGATACTAGCGGTCGTAGGAGTACTGGTAGAAGTAGTACTAGTAGCAGCAGTAGTAGTAGCAGTAGTAGTAGCAGCAGTAGTAGTAATACCCGTAGTAGTAGTAGTAGAAGTAGAAGTAGAAGTAGAAGAAGAAGAAGTAATAGTAGTAGTAGTGGTAGTGGTAGTGGTAGTGGTAGTCGTAGTAGTAGTAGTAGCAGCAGCAGCAGCAGTAGTAGAAGTAGTAATGGCCTAGTAATACTAGGAGTAGTAAAAGTAGTAGCAGTAGTAGCAGTAGCAGTAGCCTGGTAAAACCAGTAGTAGTAGTAGTAGTAGTACTAGCAGTAGTAGTAGTAGTAGCAGTAGTAGTAGTAGTGGTAGTAGTGGTAGTAGTAGTAGTGGTAGTAGTGGTAGTGGTAGTGGTAGTGGTAGTGGTAGTAGTAGTAGTAGTAGTGGTAGTCCGGTCAGCTAAGCCTCTGTAAAACTTCTACTCACAGCCTCTACCACATCCTAGAGACAAAAACTGCAGCCCCCTTGTTGTTTTTTGCCCCCCCCCTCAAAAGATGTTGTTGTCTCTACCCCCCTAGAAACAAAATCTGCAGCCCCGTTGTTGTTTTTTTGACCCCCCCTCCAGAACAACACACCAAAAAACAT